AGGAAAGAGATCAACCTTAAAGTATTGGCCGACAGAGGAAGGGGAATGGGGAAGAAGTGGGAAATGAATTAAGATTCTAATTCATTTAGACTAATTCAGAATGAATTAGTTGTCTAATTCAGACAGTCTAATTATTAGACTGGGCATTGGAAAGGTGAGAGGCTGTTGATGAGAGGATTACAAATCATGTGCCTTGTCAATGCAAGTAGAGTTCATTGCCATTGTTATTGAATTAAGACGCCAAGAAAGGAGAAGAAGAGTGAATTTTAAATCTGACTTAAGAGACACACACTAAAAGTCTTTGGAAAAAGGTAGAAAACAGAAAGTTTCTGGGAATTCACTCTCAAGTTAGATTTTGTGGAGGTGAATGAACAGGTGTATTTGTGAGGATGCTGAGGAAGACTTTACTGAATATTTCATCTAAGACCCTGTTACAGCTCTAAGGCAACAGAACTAGGACGAGTTAACTGAGAATAGGATAGCGGGACAAGTCCATGGAAGTAGGTTCTATCCCATTGTATGACCTCAGTATGTTATCATGGATACATCATATGTTTTGGGATTTCATTGTATATAATAAAACAAGTTAGTGACGCTGCCATATGCTTTCAGAAGGCAGTTGCAGCCGAGAACCCAACCTGTCCTTTCTCTTAATATGCCTCATTTTGGATGCTATGGTTATCTTGAGGTTATCTTGAGATGATTTCGGGGCTTTTAGTGTCCCCGCGGCCCGGTCCTCGACCAGGCCTCCACCCCCAGGAAACAGCCCGTAAACAGCTGACTAACTCCAGGTACCTATTTACTGCTAGGTAACAGGGGCATAGTGTGAAAGAAACTTTGCCCATTTGTTTCTGCCTCGTGCGGGAATCGAACCCGCGCCACAGAATTACGAGTCCTGCGCGCTATCCACCAGGCTACGAGGCCACTACGAGGTCCCCCAACGTGCAAAATAAGTGGTACTATAAAAAGTAGCAGATCACAAATATCCAAGTTTCCCAGACGTAGGTTGGCTAGTTTAGGTGTGGCTTGGACTCGTGCACTTTAGTACCCGTTCTAATTTGGGTAAAAAATTAAGAGGGTCAAAAAGAAAACGGATTTTCACATTGATATATTACGTGATTTCTCTGTGTATGAAAGGGGGGTCGTTCTCCAGCTTGTACGTTGTAAGGGGTCGTGGCGAGTAGAATGTACTGAAACAAACTAAATAGTTAAATCTCACTCACATAGTCACTGTTAGGTAAGGAATTACGAGGCGGTGGAGGAAGGTGCCACTCTCCTCCACCGTGGGAGTGGGACTCCTCTCCACCGTGGGAGTGGCACTCCTCTCCACCGTGGGAGTGGCACTCCTCTCCACCGTGGGAGTGGGACTCCTCTCCACCGTGGGAGTGGCACTCCTCTCCACCGTGGGAGTGGCACTCCTCTCCACCGTGGGAGTGGGACTCCTCTCCACCGTGGGAGTGCCACTCTCCACCGTGGGAGTGCCACTCTCCACCGTGGGAGAGTGGCACACATACACGAGTGCTTACTAAACATTAACCGGGGGGATAGGGGAGGGAGCGATACCTAGCACTTTATACCCCATTACCGTTTAGGCTATACCTCTTATGTCTCATTCTTCCACCTTTGTGTGGTGTCCGGCCTGTTGAGGCTGTGAGAGGAGGTGGCTTCCCGTACTTCTTCCTACAGTACATTCCACTTCACTACTCTTACAGGTTATAAATATTTTCTTACATTTTTTTTAACTCATTTCTTCAGCTTCCAGCTTGTCTATTACCCTGACAGCTGAGTACACAGCGCTTCGGATTCGTAGTCCTGATGTTCCGGGTTCGATCCCCGGTGAAGGCGGAGACAAGCGGGCAAAATGTTTTTTTTTTCATCCTGATGCCCCTGTTACCTAGCAGCAAATAGGTACCTGGGATTTAGACAGCTGCCACGGGCTGCTTCGTGAGTGGGTGTAACAAAAAGAAGGCCTGGTCGAGGACCGAGCCGCGGGGACGCTAAGCCCAAATAGATAACTGAATCTCGTATGTAGTGATCATATCCCCTCTAGACTGAGGGTTTTAGGGCGCGAGTGGCAAGACAGCGCCCTGGGAGTGGCGGCGGGCAGAGAAACTCTAGTAGAGGGACAGTGGTAGGTACAGGAAACAGCGAGGGAAGGGAGGAAAGGTAGACGACAGAGAGAGAGAGAGAGAGAGAGAGAGAGAGAGAGAGAGAGAGAGAGAGAGAGAGAGAGAGAGAGAGAGAGAGAGAGAGAGAGGAGGGAGAGAGAGAGAGACAGAGGACAGAGACAGAGACAGAGAGAGAGAGAGAGAGAGAGAGAGAGAGGAGAGAGAGAGAGAGAGAGAGAGAGATAGACCGGTGCAGCCGGCCGCCACCTGCGCTGGACACGCATTGGGCTCCCACACGCTCTGCTGGTATGCAGGTAGAGGGGGTGGTGGGCTAGTAGAGGGGGTGGTGGGCTAGTAGAGGGTGTGGTGGGCTAGTAGAGGGGGTGGTGGGCTAGTAGAGGGGTGTGGTGGGCTAGTAGAGGGTGTGGTGGGCTAGTAGAGGGGTGTGGTGGGCTAGTAGAGGGTGTGGTGGTGGGCTAGTAGAGGGGGTGGTGGGCTAGTAGAGGGTGTGTGGTGGGCTAGTAGAGGGGTGTGGTGGGCTAGTAGAGGGTGTGGTGGGCTAGTAGAGGGGGGTGGTGGGCTAGTAGAGGGGGGTGGTGGGCTAGTAGAGGGGGTGGTGGGCTAGTAGAGGGGGTGGTGGGCTAATAGAGGGGGTGGTGGGCTAGTAGAGGGGTGTGGTGGGCTAGTAGAGGGGTGTGGTGGGCTAGTAGAGGGTGTGGTGGGCTAGTAGAGGGTGTGGTGGGCTAGTAGAGGGTGTGGTGGGCTAGTAGAGGGTGTGGTGGGCTAGTAGAGGGGTGTGGTGGGCTAGTAGAGGGTGTGGTGGGCTAGTAGAGGGTGTGGTGGGCTAGTAGAGGTGTGGTGGGCTAGTAGAGGGGGTGGTGGGCTAGTAGAGGGGGTGGTGGGCTAGTAGAGGGTGTGGTGGGCTAGTAGAAGGGGTGGTGGGCTAGTAGAGGGTGTGGTGGGCTAGTAGAGGGTGTGGTGGGCTAGTAGAGGGTGTGGTGGGCTAGTAGAGGTGGTTGGTGGGCTAGTAGAGGTGGTTGGTGGGCTAGTAGAGGGGGTGGTGGGCTAGTAGATTGTGTGGTGGGCTAGTAGAGGGTGTGTGGGCTAGTAGAGGGTGTGGGTGGGCTAGTAGAGGGTGTGGTGGGCTAGTAGAGGGTGTGGTGGGCTAGTAGAGGGGTGTGGTGGGCTAGTAGAGGTGGTTGGTGGGCTAGTAGAGGGGGTGGTGGGCTAGTAGAGGGGGGTGGTGGGCTAGTAGAGGGTGTGGTGGGCTAGTAGAGGGGGGGTGGTGGGCTAGTAGAGGGTGTGGTGGGCTAGTAGAGGGGGGTGGTGGGCTAGTAGAGGGTGTGGTGGGCTAGTAGAGGGGGGTGGTGGGCTAGTAGAGGGGGTGGTGGGCTAGTAGAGGGGGGTGGTGGGCTAGTAGAGGGTGTGGTGGGCTAGTAGAGGGTGTGGTGGGCTAGTGGAGGGTGTGGTGGGCTAGTAGAGGGGGGGGTGGTGGGCTAGTAGAGGGTGTGGTGGGCTAGTAGAGGGGGGGTGATGGGCTAGTAGAGGGTGTGGTGGGCTAGTAGAGGGTGTGGTGGGCTAGTAGAGGGGGTGGTGGGCTAGTAGAGGGGTGTGGTGGGCTAGTAGAGGGGGGTGGTGGGCTAGTAGAGGGGGTGGTGGGCTAGTAGAGGGGGGTGGTGGGCTAGTAGAGGGGGGGGTGGTGGGCTAGTAGAGGGGGTGGTGGGCTAGTAGAGGGGTGTGGTGGGCTAGTAGAGGGGGGTGGTGGGCTAATAGAGGGGTGTGGTGGGCTAGTAGAGGGGGGTGGTGGGCTAGTAGAGGGGGTGGTGGGCTAGTAGAGGGGTGTGGTGGGCTAGTAGAGGGGGGTGGTGGGCTAGTAGAGGGGGTGGTGGGCTAGTAGAGGGGGGGGTGGGCTAGTAGAGGGGGTGATGGGCTAGTAGAGGGGGGTGGTGGGCTAGTAGAGGGGGTGGTGGGCTAGTAGAGGGGGTGGTGGGCTAGTAGAGGAGTGTGGTGGGCTAGTAGAGGGGGGTGGTGGGCTAGTAGAGGGGGTGTGGTGGGCTAGTAGAGGGTGTGGTGGGCTAGTAGAGGGGTGTGGTGGGTTAGTAGAGGGGGGGTGGTGGGCTAGTAGAGGGGTGTGGTGGGCTAGTAGAGGGGGGTGGTGGGCTAGTAGAGGGGGGGTGGTGGGCTAGTAGAGGTGGTGGTGGGCTAGTAGAGGGGGGTGGTGGGCTAGTAGAGGGGGGGTGGTGGGCTAGTAGAGGGGGTGGTGGGCTAGTAGAGGGTGTGGTGGGCTAGTAGAGGTGGTGGTGGGCTAGTAGAGGAGGTGGTGGGCTAGTAGAGGGGGTGGTGGGCTAGTAGAGGGTGTGTGTGGGCTAGTAGAGGGTGTGGTGGGCTAGTAGAGGAGGTGGTGGGCTAGTAGAGGGGGTGGTGGGCTAGTAGAGGTGGTGGTGGGCTAGTAGAGGAGGTGGTGGGCTAGTAGAGGGGGTGGTGGGCTAGTAGAGGGGGTGGTGGGCTAGTAGAGTGGGTGGTGGGCTAGTAGAGGGGGTGGTGGGCTAGTAGAGGGGGTGGTGGGCTAGTAGAGGGGGTGGTGGGCTAGTAGAGGGGGTGGTGGGCTAGTAGAGGGGGTGGTGGGCTAGTAGAGGGGGTGGTGGGCTAGTAGAGGGGGTGGTGGGCTAGTAGAGGGGGTGGTGGGCTAGTAGAGGGGGTGGTGGGCTAGTAGAGGGGGTGGTGGGCTAGTAGAGGGGGTGGTGGGCTAGTAGAGTGGGTGGTGGGCTAGTAGAGGGTGTGGTGGGTTAGTAGAGGGTGTGGTGGGCTAGTAGAGGGTGTGGTGGGTTAGTAGAGTGGGTGGTGGGCTAGTAGGGGGGGTGGTGGGTTAGTAGAGGGGGTGGTGGGTTAGTATGGGGGGCTAGGAGAGTAGTTGGTCGCAGAACGCACCCTCCCCCCATGAACTGGGGCTCGGGAACGCACCCGCCCCCATGAGCATCAGGGTGCGTCATGCGGTTCGTGTAGCCAACTGCGTCGACGGCGGCCGCGTCGGGCGAGGTGGCGCCGCAGGCCGGGGCAGCTGCTTGGCGTTGCAACATGTCGACTTCCACCGCCAGCTGCTTGCGCGGGCTGGGTGCTGGTGGTGCTGCTGGTGCTGGTGCTGCTGCCGTTGTTCTCTGGTGTGTATCGCTGTTGCGGTGTGCTTACTGTTGTTCTATTGTTGGCTTCTGTTGCTGTGTGCCTGCCGTTGTTCATTCGTGCGTTCTTGTGTCTGACGTTGTTGTGTTGTGCGCTCTTTGTTGTGTGTCTTCTGTTGCTGTGTCGTCGTGCGCCCCTGTAACTGTTCAACTTGCATGCACTTCTGTTGCTGTGCACCTCCACCTGCTGGTCTCCCGTTGCGCTTCTGTTGCCGTGCGCCGCTCACGCAATGCCTGCTTGCTGCTTGAGACACGGCTTATCTTCGCGGGTATTACGGGGCTGTCGGCCGCATCTGGTGTTCACAACCAGAACACTGCCTCTGTTGCATGGCTGGTTATCTGCCGTTGTTGTAGCCGGGACTTTGGCTGGGTTCACCAGCTCGGTATTCCAAGGTTCGCAGCGCTGCAACATCCCGTCAGTTCGATGTTGTACACAGTCGCACCGCTGCGACATTCCGTCTCAATATTTATAGCTAAGCTGAAGGCGGGGATCCCGCCCCGTCATGGGGGCGCTGCTGCCTGCAGGGGGTCAGGAGGGGGCTGCCTGAGGGATGGATCTCTTTGTTAGGGGGGAATGGTTGCCTGTGGGTGGAGTGCTGCTGGATCCAGGACCTCGGTTCCAGCGTTTCTCGAGGCTATAGAAACAGCGTTGTGGGCTGGCGTCTGCAACGCCGTCGTCAGCACGTCAAGCTGTCTGATTTTGGCCTTAGGGGGGGAGAAGGAAGGAATTTATGTCAAAATGCGGACGCAACGCCATCAGTGTGGCGCCCAGAGCACCCTCCGGGGGCTGGCTGTCACCCGCCACCACAAAGGGAAACAGGGGCGATAGTGAGAAGAAACAGAGGTAAGCCAGGTACAGCTGGGAGGACTTTGGAGTGAGTAAGAGAGAGAGATAGACTGAGACAAAGGCAGACAGGAACAGACCCACACACAGATTCACTCACGGTGACAGTGAGTGAATGAATGAATAAGTGAATAGGGGGGGACATGACACTGTTGAAGGTGGGAAAAATCAGGCTGGTGGTGGATGGCTGACGCCATCACGACCAAGGTAGAGAGGCAGGAGAGGACAGAACACCAACATAAGAGGTCTTGGGGGGCCATAATCAGCATCTAGAAGACTGCCTTGCAAGAGCCCCTCTCCCCCCTTTCTTCGGCTCCTCTACCTGCATCTTGCACGAGGTGAGCTTCTGCCACCATCTAGTACCCTCTGCAACAAGGGAGATCCACAAATAAACGACAACTATCGCTCGTTTGTGGAAAGCGTAGCGACCTCCTGCCACCTGAGCGAAACACTAAGGGGCGCCTGGCATGGCCGCCCGCGCGCATGCGCAGCCCTCAGACGCGACGCTTCGCGCGCTCACTTTGTTTCGGTAAAGATATATATATATTCTTCAGTCATACCTTCTCTTTCGGTTATTAAACAGGTTAAGTAGTTTCATTATATGTATTATAGCGTATATCTCGCCCGTGGGGGGCATGCTAGGGCTGGGTATCGAAGGGGTTGTGCCCCTGGGTAGAGCAGCAGGGACGCCGCGTCGTCGCCGGCTGCAGCAGCATAACAAAGGAAGCCTCTAATGCCCACCATGCTGCTAGATGCTGTAATGATCTCCAATTGTACCAAAAATATCTATACACATTACAAATGGTTGATCCTCGCTAAATCACCAAATTAAGTAGCCATTTTTAAACTTTAATTAGAAGCTGTTTCCCCTTAATGCGAGTGCAGAGTACTCATTCACGACACCAAATACTACAACTCATTGTATGCATAAATCCATGTATAATACACATATAAATATGTATAGTGAAGCCTGAGGAATTTTAGCAATAAAGCACCTCAATTTTCCGAGAGCGAAAAATGAGAGAGTCGAACCATTTCGACAAAACTGACGTAATGTGTCGGGAAAATGTCGGCGGAGGACTTCGTTCATCTCTAGTTACCGGGACCACGCGGCCGGCCGGCCCCCGCAACACACCCTAAATATCTAACTTTACTAATATTAAACAAATAATCTAAGTTACAACCTGTGTTATATAGATTATTTGCTTGAATTGTGTTCACTACATTACTCATAATGCCATAATTAAATCTACCCTTAATATATCCAAATATAAGTTCTATACGTCATCATTAATCAGAAAATTATTGCTTACTAAAGCGCTATACAAGTTTGCTTGTGCTAATTTATTTGACATAAAAGTATAGTGTATTTTTCTTAATAGAAATATAATCAATGCGATGTTATTTGCGTAGAAATGTATATAAAATTGTGACATATGTTTAGACGTGTTGCGGGGGCGGCCCTAGAGACGCCTTCCTCCTACACCCGGCATTTCTGTATTAACAAATCCAAGTTCTGTAAGTACGCTCAAGAAGCCTTTTATAGAGTTCTCATCGAGAAATATGAAGCAAATATATAAATAATGACCAACACCCGACAGGTTTCAATGAATTTCCCCGTTCTTATCACCGCTAGTAGGCAGCGTGCCAATGATGCGAGTGAAATATGCCGCCTCACAATGATTTGCAGCTTAACTGTTACCACATTACAGCCAGCGAGATACCTTAACACTAGGGTGTTAATATAGGGGAAATATGCATTTCTAGCATAGAGAAAAAGAGGGTCAACTTGAGCCAGTGGGTTTGCGGAGACCCCGAGCGAGGCTAGCCGGCGCCGGCCCCCGTGTGGTATTTCTCAGCGCCTGGCTGCGAGGGTAGGGGAGAGCGTCTACCGTTTTCTCTGATGGCGGTGGTGTATCATAGAGAACGGAGGGAATCCTGACGCAAGCGTCCTCTTGGTGTGTGTGTGTGTGTACTCACCTAATTGTGCTTGCGGGAGGGGGTTGAGGTCTGACTCTTTGGTCGTGTGTGTGTGTATGTATGTATGTATATATGTGTATATGTGTGTGTGTGTTTACTATTTGTGTCTGTTAAATGGAGTTATTAGTTCTTGGTTTAATATTTTTTCCCCGCCTTTTTTAATCAAACTGTTTTCCTCAATTATGTCTACTAATGTGTGTCTGTCTGTGTGTGTGTTTGGCTATCTATAAATGTGTGTGCGTAAGACGTTATCTGTGTGTGTTCAGGGGACTGTATTTTTGTTGTGCGTGTGGGAGCGTGCGTACGCATGTATGTGTGTGTTTGTGCGTCTGTCTGTTTGTGTGTGTGTGTGTGTGAGAGACAGAGAGAGAGAGAGCAAGCGTGCGCGCGCATGTGTGTGGGAGCGTGCGTGCGCATGTGTGTGTGTATGTGTGTGTTCGCCTATCTCTGTGTGATTGTGTGCGTTAGTCACTTATGTGTGTGTGTGCGCATGTGTGCGTTTCTATCTGATGTGTGTGTGTGTCTGCTAAAATTTGTGTGACCTTAAGTATATCGCTGACATATCATTATATATATATATATATATATATATATATATATATATATATATATATATATATATATATATATATATATATATACATATATATATGTAAACTTAATAACATAATATTCTGATATATATAATATGTCTACTGTATTAATAAAGTGGGATATGTAAATTAGTTTTGGCGTTCCATATTCATACATTTACTGATAAAATATCAGTTTATGTCACTGTTTTGATGTCCTTTGGACATCTCGCTCATTAAATTAAATGATTTAGTTTATGTATAAGGTTATTTTGAATATCCGTGTTGACGGAAATCATTATTATATTTGCAAAGTTCAAGATTTGGGTGTTTGAATGCACCATTTGGATGGCGCCAGAATGTGCGCATGCGCAGTGGGCGACGCAGGCCGGCGTGCTCATGGAGGGCTGTTTGTATGGAAACGAAGTTGATTTTATGCTCTATATATGTGTTATACTAAACTGTTTATATAATATTATATAATAAATCAATATCGATCAGATTATGTTTGAATACTAGGCACATATGATGAAATGTGCATTGGGCTAAACATCTAATAGAGTTCCTCCACATTTAGGAACTATGCCTATTTGAAGACAATAATTCATTTCGGAATATATATTATCAAATTTTAATAGTCTGTGGTATACAAATATGTAAATAAACTTCTTTGGTGAGTGTAATTTTTTTTAATATATTATAGAAATGTGAAAAATTTTAATGGCTAGTGACGCTGCCGTTAGTTATTGTGCGTCTGGCAGCTGCTTGGGCGGGGAGTAAACCTTTGTCAAAATCCTTTGCGCGTTTCTTTAAATGGCGGACTGGAACGTTAGATCATTAATACTGTATTTGAGGCTTTGATGATATAACTACAACGACTACTATTACAGCGGCTAAATAGCTCGGACTATTGATAAGCTGTACGCTACACATAAGCCTAGTAGCAACTATATCTGCTATAGGCCTGTACAGTCTACAATTACCAATACAACTAGAACACAACGAACTTAAAATATGTTCAACAATATATTGACATGATTGTATGGAACATACAGAATAAAAACATACAGGAAATGAATGAATGAATGACACCAGCTGACGTTATCACGGCTATTAGTATATCTTTTTGTATGTAAAAGTATAGTAGGCTATTTATATACATTTTAGTAGGCCTTCACATGCCAATATTAGTGCGCAGATTGTGTGCGCATAGGCATTGTGTTTGTACATATGACTCAAGTTTTTTTGCGCATGCGCCCACACTAGTTTTTGCGCTCAGGAAGGGAGGAGGTGGGGGGGGGGGTCCAGATAGGCCTGGCGATACAGTACTGAACCAAACTGTATCACCTACAATTACTGTAATTGGGAAGTGAAGTTTCCGGAAACTTCTGCGTGACTGTATCCGGGTTTCACGAACATTTTGCTTATTTTTCAGAATTGTCATGATCTTATCAGCAATATATATATATATATATTTTATAGTTAATGCTGTTTTAGTATTAATTATTTTCTTTCAGGGTAGTTTAATGCAGGCCCTGAAGGTGGCTTAATGCAGGCCCTGAAGGTGGCTTAATGCAGGCCCTGAAGGTGGCTTAATGCAGGTCCTGAAGGTGGCTTAATGGAAGCCCTGAAGGTGGCTTAATGCAGGTCCTGAAGGTGGCTTAATGGAAGCCCTGAAGGTGGCTTAATGCAGGTCCTGAAGGTGGCTTAATGCAGGTCCTGAAGGTGGCTTAATGGAAGCCCTGAAGGTGGCTTAATGCAGGTCCTGAAGGTGGCTTAATGGAAGCCCTGAAGGTGGCTTAATGCAGGCCCTGAAGGTGGCTTAATGCAGGTCCTGAAGGTGGCTTAATGGAAGCCCTGAAGGTGGCTTAATGCAGGTCCTGAAGGTGGCTTAATGCAGGCCCTGAAGGTGGCTTAATGCAGGCCCTGAAGGTGGCTTAATGCAGGCCCTGAAGGTGGCTTAATGCAGGCCCTGAAGGTGGCTTAATGCAGGTCCTGAAGGTGGCTTAATGCAGGCCCTGAAGGTGGCTTAACGCAGGCCCTGAAGGTGGCTTAATGCAGGCCCTGAAGGTGGCTTAATGCAGGCCCTGAAGGTGGCTTAATGGAAGCCCTGAAGGTGGCTTAATGGAGGACCTGAAGGTGGCTTAATGGAGGACCTGAAAGTGGCTTAATGCAGGCCCTGAAGGTGGCTTAATGCAGGACCTGAAGGTGGCTTAATGCAGGTCCTGAAGGTGGCTTAATGCAGGTCCTGAAGGTGGCTTAATGCAGGTCCTGAAGGTGGCTTAATGCAGGACCTGAAGGTGGCTTAATGCAGGTCCTGAAGGTGGCTTAATGCAGGACCTGAAGGTAGCTTAATGCAGGTCCTGAAGGTGGCTTAATGCAGGTTCTGAAGGTGGCTTAATGCAGGTCCTGAAGGTGGCTTAATGCAGGCCCTGAATGTGGCTTAATGCAGGTCCTGAAGGTGGCTTAATGCAGGACCTGAAGGTGGCTTAATGCAGGCCCTGAAGGTGGCTTAATGGAGGATCTGAATGTGGCTTAATGGAGGACCTGAAGGTGGCTTAATGGAGGATCTGAATGTGGCTTAATGCAGGACCTGAAGGTGGCTTAATGCAGGCCCTGAAGGTGGCTTAATGCAGGACCTGAAAGGTGGCTTAATGGAGGACCTGAAGATGGCTTAATGGAAGCCCTGAAGGTGGCTTAATGGAGGACCTGAAGGTGGCTTAATGGAGGACCTGAAGGTGGCTTAATGGAGGACCTGAAGGTGGCTTAATGGAGGACCTGAAGGTGGCTTAATGGAGGACCTGAAGGTGGCTTAATGGAGGACCTGAAGGTAGCTTAATGGAGGACCTGAAGGTGGCTTAATGCAGGACCTGAAAGGTGGCTTAATGGAGGACCTGAAGATGGCTTAATGGAAGCCCTGAAGATGGCTTAATGGAAGCCCTGAAGGTGGCTTAATGGAGGACCTGAAGGTGGCTTAATGGAGGACCTGAAGGTGGCTTAATGCAGGACCTGAAGGTGGCTTAATGCAGGACCTGAAGATGGCTTAATGGAGGACCTGAAGGTGGCTTAATGGAGGACCTGAAGGTGGCTTAATGGAGGACCTGAAGGTGGCTTAATGCAGGACCTGAAGGTGGCTTAATGCAGGTCCTGAAGGTGGCTTAATGGAGGACCTGAAGGTGGCTTAATGCAGGACCTGAAGGTGGCTTAATGGAGGACCTGAAGGTGGCTTAATGCAGGTCCTGAAGGTGGCTTAATGCAGGTCCTGAAGGTGGCTTAATGCAGGTCCTGAAGGTGGCTTAATGCAGGTCCTGAAGGTGGCTTAATGCAGGCCCTGAAGGTGGCTTAATGCAGGTCCTGAAGGTAGCTTTACGGAGGTTCTAAATGTGGCTTAATTCAGATCCTGAGGATGGCTTAATGAAAGTCAAAGGGAAAGAGGTCCCTCTTTCAGGGAAAGAGGCCCAGAAAGTGGCTTCTCTCTCTCTATTTTTATATTATTTATACAAGAGTTGTTACACTCTTGTACAGCCACCAGCACGCGTAGCGTTTCCGGCAAATCCTTAACCTATGTTCCCTGGAATAGGACCCGCCAAATTGTTGAACAACCTGGCACCACGGTGAACTGTAACCTCTGTTCTAACCTTAACTGTAGCCTCTGTGCAACCAGAGGCTACAGTTAAGAACTGGGGCCCAGTCAATCCTCCCCGGCCAGGGTACGAACCCAGACCAAAGCGCTCACGACACGCCAGGCGAGTGTGTTACCGCTTTGCCACAGAGACACTTAGTGTCATTCGTAGAAGTATATCAGGACAAATAGGGGGGGGACCTTTGACAAGCCGACGGCTTCCTCTTCTCGTTGAGGTCACTAGTGTTAGTGGCCCTCAGGTAAATTCAGGTAAATATTCACTGGCTGTCTGTCCCCCAACACAATGAATTTATCATTAAACATTGTCGGTCGGTCACTTATAAAAGAAAATGTATGAGATTAAAGAAAACGGAGAGGATAAGTGTCAAGGAAGAGGGACTTGTGTAATTCCCAAGACCATACGCCTCAAGGAATGGTAGTATGTCTTAGGCTGGGATTAAAAAATGATGTTCCAGGTTTCTAGTATATTATTATACCTTTCCTAAATAACATAATCGTATTCCTTTGTAAACAATGTTTACAGCATTGTTTACAACACCTTGGGAAAGAATGTAGGTTACATCCGAAAATATAATTTTTAAAACATATTTACATATTTCGAGTCCTTCCATCACTTTCATTCAAGCACTACGGCATTGCATTAAGTTTCTCCACTAAATATTTGATTTGGATTTAAGCTTATGGTAATAAAGGTTTTATTGGAATTTAAGCTTATTTCTCTAAGGTTATTTAGGCTTATAAGGTCTAAAACATTAGTTGGATGTTAAGCTAATGGCAAACAAACAAAAAATTGTGGACATTTCAGCTGTCACTGAAAATTTTTCTTTGCGGTTTAAGGAAATGCTGTAATTTACTGTAAAGAAGCTCTGTATCCCACTGTAAGTTGGAGCTGAATCTCACTGTAAGAAGGATGGTCTGATAATCCTTGCTTCGGGGAGAGGCTTGTACCCCCCCCCCCCCAATCCCCCCTTGACGACCTACTGACCCTCCAATTTATCCTCTTAATTGGATAATACTTTTTGTACCCATGTGGACGATTGTACAGATATTGACGTGATGTTGGTACCATTCACTTTATAGAATCCGGCAAAACAATTCAGTTAAAAACCCAATTCAGGTGTTCCTGGGCCTAGAATACCACATATTTGAACTATGTTAGGCCTCAGAGAGCGTGTTTTAGGCCTATAGAAGGGTTAGGTTAGATTTTATTTGCAAAAACATTTCCGGTTTGTGAGAAATTCAGTAATACGAAAGTTTACTTTCTGTTGATCCATCCGCCCAGTACTGCGGACCTCATTGTCCTGCAAGTCTATTAACACCATCAGTAGTTCATCGGAGCAATATATACATATATATATATATATATATATATATATATATATATATATATATATATATATATATATATATATATATATATATATATATATATATATATATATATATATATATATATATATATATATGCATATTTAAAGCTATCCAACTGCTCGCTTAAAATGTACTTTCATCACTGACTTCTAAGATGGAAACCTCGAGAAAATAAGATTCGTGCCAGAGCCTATGTCAGCCTCTGCAACACTTTATGAGGCAAGCTTTGTGTTGCGCGTCTCTCATTGCTTTTTTTTTCTACCCTCAGCTTCTACAGTCAGCAGACACAGTTTCCAACACACTCATCTTTCTAGTTTTACTGTCACCATTTCCTCACTTTATTTCCTTAACTAGAATGGCGCTTTGGGGCGCCTCTGTGTCGAGGATGACTGGGTGTAAAGTGTTCGTGGGCTGCAGGCTACACCCCGCAACTTACGGCAAGGTTATCACTAGGCTTCATCAACCACTAACTCAACCTCTACAGCGTTCATCAGTCATGGCGGCTTTGTTGACATTTGTTGACACCTCTCATGGGCTCTGAAGCACTTGGGAGGTTGTTTATAACAATGATAACCCTTGGGTTGTGAAGTTTCAAAGTTCGTAAACTGTTTAGTAAATTTAGACTAAGCCCTCATGATTAGGGGGAAAGATGGGGAGTTTTTGTAAGTGGGTGGGGGTGATGAAGCCTAGCTGGGGAGGAGTCTCTAATTTATGGCTAATTATCTACAGCAATTCTTCGCGTTCGTTGCTCGGTGATTGGGTGTCTCCTGGCGGCGATTGGACGTCTCCTGGCGGCGATTGGACGTCTCCTGGCGGCGATTGGACGTCTCCTGGCGGCGATTGGGAGAATCCTGACGGTGACTGCATGTCTCTTGACTTTAACTGGAAGTCTGGTGATGGCGATTGGATGTCTTCTGACGGCGGTTGGAAGTCTCGTGACGGCGATTGGAAGTCTCGTGACGGCGATTGGAAGTCTCGTGACGGTGATTGGAATTCTCCTGACGGCTGTCGTCAGCTGGGACTCGGGGAGGTTGGGGGTCCAGCAGCGTGGGTACTGAAGCAGACTCCGTGTCCGGACACCAGATTGGAGCTGGTCTGGGATTTTGAAAGTCCCGGGTAGTGGGAGATGTCCGAGTGGCGCCTGCGGCCGTGGGCGGTGTTGGGTGGGGCTGGGGGCGGTCTCTTGGAGTGGGCGGGGGAGACGGGTATATTAGGGTGGTCAGGGAGGAGTAGATATGGGGGAGGGGTGGCCTCCAACACCCTCACTACTCGAGATAATACCACCCCAGTTCCTGTTACGGCCTCCATTTCTATAGGATAGCACCCCATGTGTGGGTGGGCGTAGGGCGGAGGAGGCGTGGGTTGGAAGGGTAAGGAATGGGTAGTGGTGTGTGACGACGCCCACGACACCTGTGGGTGATCCCTGAAGCAGGAGGAACCGGCGGAGAATGTAGTGTGGCCCGGTGGATGGGAGGTCGGCGGTGGTTGGGACGACGGCGCGTAGGCAGGTCGTAGAGGTGTGGCCACTCCGTCGTCGTCTTCCAGTTGGTAAGGGTTGTCGCCGTACGCCTCCACCTCCTGTAGGGACGAGAAAACAGCAAAAGAAACAATCAACTCGTGACGCTACAACGGGCTCACCATAGCCCGTGCTACTTGGAACTTTGTTCCAGGTTATCTTGAGATGATTTTGGGGCTTTCGATTTCCCGCGGCCCGGTCCTCGACCAGGCCTCCACCCCCAGGAAGCAGCCCGTGACAACTGACTAACACCCAGATACCTATTTTACTGCTAGGTAACAGGGTGAAAGAAACTCTGCCCATTGTTTCTCACCGGCGCCTGGGATCGAACCCAGGATCACAAGTCCAGCGTGCTGTCCGCTCGGCCGACCGGCTCCCAGGGAGCAAATCTTTAACAACAACAACATAGGAACTCTTGAGCACCAAAGACAATGTACTTGTAGCCTATCCTCCAAAAAAGGGAACATACAGCCCCGCTCCGGTGCCAGGTAAGTCCACTACGGGTTCACCATAGCCTGTGCTACTTGCAACTTTTCGTTCTCAGTAGCTGAATCTAAAACAACAACATTCAAAAAGGCATATGGGTTACAAATCGTACACAAGTCAAAATCTCATTTTCTGATTGTCAAACCCTTATATTCAAGTTCAAGTATGTTTATTGAGACGAGAGAAAATACATCTCAAAGGGATAGAATAGCTTAGGCTATTTCTACCCTCCTGATCCCTTATATATAATTTGGTTAGGTTAGATTATTTAGGCCAGGTGGGATAAGTTAGGTTATGCTAGGCTGTGATGTGCCCAGATGGGTTAGGTTAGGTAAGGTTAGTTTGAGTTAAGTTACGTAGATTATACAATACGTTAGCGAACCATTTTGTGTACGATGTCACATATTGTCCAAAGTAGGGTCAAAAGATCGTAGCGAGCTATGAAGGTACAAAAGATAAACAGTTGTGAAGCAAACAGTTCACGTTTGGAATTCTAAAGGAATCACAGATATTGAAACAAACTGCATAACAAATGTACTTAACTAAAAACTAAACCTAACCTAACCTACCCTAGGCCTAAAAAACAATCGAAGGCCTAACATATGCAATCTTAGGTTAAATTGAGTTTGCATTGTTTGATTGTTGTAACTTACCACTAGAAGCAGCCTATCAGTAGACATACAAAACCCGTCTAATATACCCGTCTAGGCAGTCTACCACTAGATATATATATAAGTATTATGGCAACCTACGACCAGTTATACTTATGGCAAACCACCACTAGATATACTTATGGCAATATGACTAACTGCATTAGAAGGAGGGTACTGAATTTTGTTATGCAAATAAGATCAAGATAACTGTTTAACCCTTCAATTGCGCGGCTATTTAGAAGCATTACAACGAGCTGCACATTACTAAAAATAGCTAACGAATCAATTGGGAAGTCACCGAGCACACATCACTGAAAATGAGGAAAATAAGTGATGACGGCGCGCTCCGCCCTGGACTAGTAATGGCGTAGGACAGACCGAAGCGTCTGTTTACACTTCCTTCACTTTCTAATGTGTTAGTTAAGTGTTAGTGTTAGATAAGTGCCTAATTTCCAGCCGTGTTTATTGGAACTTGCGGTCTGCATGGGGGGAAAGGAGGAAAACCTCATATGTACGATTGCAGTAGTGTAAGGGTTTAGGTTGGTATTTTGTAAATATAGTTAACTCACTAAGGACATAACTACGTTCACATGTTACTCTTGCACCAGATGAGTTACGTAATTCATCAGAGACTATAAATATATATATATTGCCCAAGGCAAGGCATTACTCATATAATATTGTGTAAGAGAGATAGAACTTGAGCAAGGACCAACAGCACAGCTGAGTTGAGGTTGCGTCCTCCTGTGACCTTGACATTAAATATTAAACAAATACTTTATTTACCCTTCAGGGTGTAATAATGACGGACAGCCCTTGGTGGTGCAGACGGCGGCCGGTCTGTGTGGGTGATTTGGCCACACTGGTTCCATCTATACTTACTGCTAAACGACGTATTTATATGGATTTCCGTTTACTCCTGATTCGTTGTTTTGTTAGTTGAGAAAAACGCAGAGGCAAAAATATAATTATAATTCCATAATTTTAATAACAATACGTACAGTATTAGAAACGTTTATCTTAAATTCGCAAATGTTTTTGTGCGCCGGCAGATGTGCAGATAAAGCAGACTTACCCGCGCTATAAAAAACGCTAGCATAACAAACTGGCATGCAAATATTGACAGTAATTATCCGAGTGCATGAAACATCACGTGTTTACGTCTGAGAAAGAAAACGGGATAATAACAAAGTCTAGCCGTGAGTTGTTATGGCAACCGTCGCCATGGAGACCGTGGCAGCGTCACTTTGGTCAGCTGATGAGACCTTCGTGACAACGGATCATTATTGCATTGTCAAGCGAATCTCATGGATGATAATACATGACACTGATGTACTGCAACGCATGTATACATTTATGTATACTTGGAATAATATAGGTCCAAGTCCTAATCATCAATGAAAACAAAATAATTTCACTAATGACTAATAATTCCACTAATTCTCCGCCTTACGATTGACTCTTGGTTATAAGGGAGTTTCCGTCACAATATCTCTAGTTACACGGGTGGTACGCGAACAAGGGGACACAGGTGGCGAGTACCCACATGAGCCACAGGGACGTTAGAAAGAACATTTTCAGTGTCAGAGTAGTTAATAAACGGAATGCATTAGGCAGTGATGTGGTGGAGGCTGACTCCATACACAGTTTCAAGTGAAGATATGATATAACCCAGTAGGCTCAGGAACCTGTACACCAGTTGATTGACAGTTGAGAGGCGGGACCAAAGAGCCAGAGCTCAAGCACAATTAGATGAATACAACTAGGTGAGTACCGGTCTAGTGCACTGTTTTATGGCAGTATGGGGTGCATAATAAAGAAAGAAATTGAAAATTGAATTGCAGTATAAGTGTGCTGGCTGCCTCTCTTCCCGTTCTTCTCTGACCACAGATTTCCTCTCATGAAACTCCAGTTAGTTTGTTAGGCATGACCCCTATCAGCCAATGTTGGTGTACTATCGTGAATGGTAATTATCTCTTATGTTTCATTGTTCATATCATTATTCTAGACAATCTACATAGTATACTTCTTGGGTACACTAGGCTATCTGAAATGGTTACTGATTTTCTTGTAAGCAAGTGCCTCCCTACAACTGTTTGGTAAACACCTCTCACGTAACTAGCGATCATCTTGGAGTGGCTCGCACAGGAATCAAGCAGCTTCTTTTAGGATTATTGGTGAGATACTGTTAGACGCCACAGCTTTTGAATCGTAAAATCCCCCGAAGCCTCGTCCTCTGTTGATATTATTTTATTAGGTTTGATCTCAATTCAGGTACGTTGTTTACCTTTCTATAAGGAGTTGGATCCTTAACACAGTTCCTTATATTCTAGCAGTAACGCTCCAATTCTCTGGGTAACCCTCACTGCCTGGTCGTTTGTAATTACTCGTGTGGGTACACAATGCGAATTTCGTTTGGTGGTGATTGGACTTTCTAATAATCTCTCTCATTTAAAGGTATGTGTGTGTGTGTACTCATCTAGTTGTGCTTGCGGGGGTTGAGCTCTGGCTCTTTAGTCAGAGGCAGTTGGTCTGTGTGTGTGTGTGTGTGTGTGTGTGTGTGTGTAATTACCTAAGTGTAGTTACAGGATGAGAGCTACGCTCGTGGTGTCCCGTCTTCCCAGCAAGACGGGACACCCGTCCCGTCTTCACACGCACACACTTCCCAGTGTGTGCATGCATGCGTGTGTGCGTGCACTTACCGTTGTATGTGCGCTACTTCCGCTGCCCATGACAGCCCAACCGTCACTACCAGTCGTCCGCTGGGACGATGGTTCCTATCCACGCCGCCATGGGACGGGAACTTTGAGGAGGGGATGAAGCCTGGGTGACAATTAATCCCAGAGACCCCCCTTGCGAGGCAGCTTATATATATCAGTTACCGGTGGTCGTTAGAGCTGCAGTTTAATGGCCGTTGACCTTCACCTCGGCTGATCCTAACAAGGGGTAATCATCATGATTCTCATAACGGCTTCATACTTCACAGTGGCTGTTCAATGCGGATTCTATATTCCTGGAACCCGTTGCCTTCAAGAGCTCCAGGAGTCATGTAAGACCGTGAATCCATAACAGTTTCAAGTGTAGTGACATCCTCAAAGGTGAATTGCAGTGGAGCCTTAGTTATTCCAAGGTTGATGGGTCGTGTATTTGGCATCCGTAGCCTCAAAGATCATCTGTGGAGAGTAGAGATTGAGAAACGTTAATATGAAGGAGTACAGGGTTCTAATTGTGAGACAGGACAGTGGCATGATTGTCAGACAAGACAGTGGCATGATTGTCAGACAAGACAGTGGCATGATTGTCAGACAGGACAGTGGCATGATTGTCAGACAAGACAGTGGCATGATTGTCAGACAAGACAGTGGCATGATTGTCAGACAGGACAGTGGCATGATTGTCAGACAGGACAGTGGCATGATTGTCAGACAGGACAGTGGCATGATTGTCAGACAGGACAATGGCATGATTGTCAGACAGGACAATGGCATGATTGTCAGACAAGACAGTGGCATGATTGTCAGACAGGACAGTGGCATGATTGTCAGACAGGACAGTGGCATGATTGTCAGACAGGACAATGGCATGATTGTCAGACAAGACAGTGGCATGATTGTCAGACAGGACAGTGGCATGATTGTTAGACAGAACAGTGGCATGATTGTTAGACAGAACAGTGGCATGATTGTCAGACAGGACAGTGGCATGATTGTTAGACAGGACAGTGGCATGATTGTCAGACAGGACAGTGGCATGATTGTCAGACAGGACAGTGGCATGATTGTTAGACAGGACAGTGGCATGATTGTTAGACAGGACAGTGGCATGATTGTCAGACAGGACAGTGGCATGATTGTCAGACAGGACAGTGGCATGATTGTCAGACAGGACAGTGGCATGATTGTCAGACAGGACAGTGGCATGATTGTTAGACAGGACAGTGGCATGATTGTCAGACAAGACAGTGGCATGATTGTTAGACAGGACAGTGGTATAATTGTCAGACAGGACAGTGGCATGATTGTCAGACAGGACAGTGACATGATTGTCAGACAGGACAGTGGCATGATTGTTTGACAGAACAGTGGCATGATTGTCAGACAGGACAGTGGCATGATTGTCAGACAGGACAGTGGCATGATTGTTAGACAGAACAGTGGCATGATTGTCAGACAGGACAGTGACATGATTGTCAGACAGGACAGTGGCATGATTGTCAGACAGGACAGTGACATGATTGTCAGACAGAACAGTGGTATAATTGTCAGACAGAACAGTGGTATAATTGTCAGACAGAACAGTGGTATAATTGTCAGACAGGACAGTGGCATAATTGTGAGAATGTCAGGAAACTGTGTGAGTGGTACCTGGGTCTTGAGAGAAATGTCAGAGCATCCTTCATCATCCTGTGTACAAAGGCAGTCTTATAGCGAAGATGTATACTTATATAGTATATATTCTGTACTCATGTCAGTTTAACTATGACTCGCGGGTTGTCGCTGCCTTCACGTACAGCCTGTTCTATAAATACAGCAGCCTAAAATAACCTCATCTGAAGTATGTTCAGAGATCCGATTCGAACAAAGGTCGAGAGCGAAGCGCTGTTCGAGAAAATATTCGAACGTCATCACTTGTGAGTCTTGCAGTCAGTCCTCATCAACAATGGTCAAATGCTCGGTAATCCAGCCAACAAACACCATCCCCTTCCCCCCCTCTCCTCTGTTTATGTATGTAAAACACTTTACACGCGCCTCACAACTGATGACGTTCGAACATTTCTCGAACAACGCTTCGCTGACGACCTCTGTTCGAACTGCAAATCTGTAAATGCTTCACCCGCGTACTACAAATTATTGTCAACATGAACATATAACCTACACTTAAATATATGCACAGCATGCGTATTATCATATAATAATAACATTATACATAAATATGTTTATAAATGTGGAAAAGCCACAGATAAATGGGAAGGAAATGTAGAACGTTTCATACTAATGATCTGTGCTTCATGATCGACAGTTCCAGTTATCATAAATATAAATTATCATATCAATTATCATCAACATAAATATTGTTATATAATGGTAATATTTATATTTGAGAAAATTCCTATGTAGAATGAACAGCAGGTTGAAATTAATGAACGCATTTTCGGGGTCGGCCGCGGGATGGACTAGCCTAGCCAGAGGACAGACCATGTGTCGTGATTTCTATACACAAGAGACCACCACCGTGTAATTAGCATGTCGTGTAAGGTATCCTGCCCATACTCAGCGTGTCTTAGAGGCTATCCTATTAGTCAAATTAGCGTGTTATAATCAGCTGCACACTGAAAAGTTTAGTCACTCGGGGTAACAAGGTTATCCATGTTGGAGTTTTATCGTTGCGTGCGAGGTATTGTCTTGAACGCAGTGATCTCGTTTGCGTGCAAGAGGGCGTGGAGGTTGAGGGTCATGGCTTGCGTGCAAGAGGGAGGGGTGGGAGAGGGGCTGGGAAGGGGAAACAACACACACCCAGTAATCAGTCGAATATCATACATCAACTGTCCATTGTATTCTTGTTCCCGCTTCTGCTGTTATCACTTCTGCTACTGCTGCCTCAGTGGTATGGTAATGCCTTCTCCATCGTAGCGATGGAGTTATCATAAACTTTTTATGTTACTTTTTAAAGTTACTTTTATAAAAGTTACTTTTTGGGGGTTTAGTTCTGATGTTGATGACCAAACCACATATCAAATGGAGAAATGGCGACGTTTCAGTCCGTCCTGGACCATTATCAAGTCGTGTTGGTCCAGGACGGACCGAAACGTCGTCGTCCCTTCACCTTCTAGTGTGTGGTCTGGTCAACATCGACGAGGAATATCCGATTAATATAGACAAAACTGCGAACCCGAAACGCTATGCGTGTTAGTGGCTTTACAAGATTGTAATTTCAACTTAAACTCTATGTTCTCTCTGAACCCGCAATGTACCTTCTTGTATATATATAAATAAACCATTCAGGGTCAATAGTGACTCCTCCCACATACAACTCGAGCTCCAGAATCGATCACAAGTGAGACTTGAACCCATAGAACAACGCAGATGGGTATGTGTATAATTGTAATTTATATTCAATTAATAAAGCATAATTTTGTCCCACTTGATGACAGTCTTTAGACCAGTTTGGTATTGGGCTAAAAACGTGTCGCCCTCCGGTGGGTCGTTACGGTTACAATTACTTACTGTCTAATCAGCAAGAATGTATTAAGCTTGGACATACGCCAGGTCTAAAATAATCTCTAGTGTATGTGCACAGAAAAGCGGGGTATACCTCTTTGGGTATGTATTCATTGTGGATTATAAAACTACTCATGTGCAGACGATTAGTCACAATAACGTGGTTGAAGATATGATCACCAAACTACACACCAGAAGATGAGGAGACGACGACGTTTCGGTCCGTCCTGGACCATTATCAAGTCGATTGTGCTTGATAATGGTCCAGTGCGGACCCAAAACAAGTTATCAATTCCACAATCGACTTGAAATGGTCCAGGTCGGACCGAAACGTCGTCGCCTTCTCATCTCCAGGTGTGTGGTCATTAAAATCTACTCACCTTCAGTAAATTCCGTTTTACTGATGACGTGAGGTTTCTCAGTGTGATCTTGGAAGGTGATGGGGGTGATAGCGAAGCAAGGAGCCAGAGAAGCTGCTTAGATATCGTGATAAGAATCCACTTATGACCAGACAGGATTAGGCTACGTAGTCAGGATAGAGGCCATAGACTATCTGAATTCTAGCCACGTATACCTTAATCCCGAGAAAAGCAAATTGTCCGTGCATATGCGCTGAGAAGGACACTCAGAAGGAACACTTAGGTGTTATACGCCTCACGCTGCGAGGGAGAGAGAGACAGGCCGGCGATGTTTACCTGTAAGCGCGGGGCGTCAGACTGAGGGGTTCCAGTGTCCTCTGGCGGCTGGTGTCTGTACCACCTCTGTGTCCCTATCCCACGTGCAGGGGCTAAGAGAGAGAGAGAGAGACAGAGAGAGAGAGACAGAGAGAGAGAGACAGAGAGAGAGAGGAAGCGAGAGAGAGAAAGAGAGAGAGAGAGAGAGAGAGAGAGAGAGAGAGAGAGAGAGAGAGAGAGAGTGATTGAGACTGCAAATAACGAGCCATAAACATGCTCAAAAAAGTCCCAAGTTTTGTATAATACAAATTATACAAATAGTAGAAAAAACTGTAACAAACCATAAACCCTAACCTGTCCTAGGCCTATCATACACAATCTCACGCCTCCTTTACTACATATGTGCTAACCAAGCCTATGAAAAGCTAGGCTTTTTTGTTACCTTCTCTCTCTTGGGACCTCTAAAAAATAATATAAACCTTGGGCTATTTTTTTTTTGTGTGTGGGGGGGGGGGGAGAGGATGCAAAAGTCGATAATTTGTCAATTTCATCCACAGCAGCATTAGGTACTAAGGAGTCTAAGGATGTAAGTTTGAGCCCATTACACCGCTTCCACTTCAGTATATTTTTGTAAGATAGATCTCATGAAATATCATACAAGCGGTGGGGAGAATAGAGCGCTAAAAGGCTCTCATAATATTCATCACCTCACACCTCAATGCATTAAATATTTGATTCAATAATGATGGAGAATGGAATATAATTCTGTTATTATTATACTCCAATAAACATAGCTCTTCTTTTATATGATATTGTGTTTGTAAAGAAATGAAATAATGATGGAGTCAGAGTTTGTCTCCTGTGGATTCCTTTTCATATTGGTCTCTGAATGCATGATATAACTGATGAGTTGCTAAACACATTTTGTTCGAAGGGAAGGAATTGATTATCATTTTGGACTGCCTTTGAGCAGCCTGAGGGCAGCAATATCCTGCCAATAGCAACAAAAACTCAAACTCTTGAAGCAAAGTGAAATTCACACCAGTTCCTCCATCTATCATCATTCTATTATGCAGGAAGAACCGCACGTCTGTGGGTCATCCAATAAGGTTAGCAGACTTCTAGATGTTACCACTGCTAGGCCTGAGGCTCGGCTACCCCGCCCAGGATGCAACCCCAAACAAGTTGCAGTTAAGATGATCTACCACCGCTCATACGATGGGTATGGAGGTGCATAATGAATGACTAAACTATTTGGAAACAGGTGTGTGGTGGGCAAGGGTTCGTATAACAGATGTGTGAGAACAGGTTTGAAAAAACGCGTCTGTGGGGGATGAGCGCGAGAAACAGGTGTGAGGGAAATTGTGTAAAGCAAAGCTTGTGGGGCTAATGTGGGTGAGACAGGTGTTTGAACTTGTGGGACCAGTGTGGGTGAGACAAGTGTTTGAACTTGTGGGACCAGTGTGGGTGAGACAAGTGTTTGAACTTGTGGGACCAGTGTGGGTGAGACAGGTGTTTGAACTTGTGGGACCAGTGTGGGTGAGACAGGTGTCTGAACTTGTGGGACCCGTGTGGGTGAGACAGGTGTTTGAACTTGTGGGACCCGTGTGGGTGAGACAGGTGTTTGAACTTGTGGGACCCGTGTGGGTGAGACAGGTGTTTGAACTTGTGGGACCAGTGTGGGTGAGACAGGTGTTTGATACTCCTGTGGCCTGTGTAGAAGAAGTCAAGCTTGTGGGCTGGCTTGTGAGGCCAGTGTGGAATGTCAAAATCGATTTTAACTCTAAACAAGAATGACGAGTGCCCTCTTCAAATATTATTATAATATTCGACTGAGGACTTCCTGTATAAACACTGAGCTGATGAACTTTTTTTTTGTAATGTAAACATAGCTGATAGGTCTCGCTGTATACATGTAAACACCACCAACAGCTGATGTACTTCGATGTACACAAGAAAAACCATATGACATGATTTCAATAAATATAAGTTACCAGAAATTGCATATAATCTGTTTTAAACAATGATCTCTCGACCTTACAGCAGTGAAGCGTGTTAATGACTAGGCTACTACGACTCAAACTAAACTTATCGATATATTCCTTTGCAGTGAATTTTAAAAGAGCAATGGAAATATATATTTAGTGACTCGCAGGGTGCACCTTCGACGATAAGTAATACCAAGAAAATGGTAAGCGGTATCCGCATGTATACAATGAACTTGAGATTAAATTCCTCTAGACTCTATTGCATGCTGGCATCTCAAATCATGATAGAGTTGACATGCTTGCAAAGACAGCCTATAGTAAATCAGGCATAGGAACCTATATAGATGATTCATGTGCCATGATGACAATTATACTTTACTGATATCCAGTAAAAATCTTATTGGCCCAACACATACAATAGATGGGAAGCAGGTGCATGAAACTCTATAATGAATACCGTGAGGAGGGGTTTTAATATGGAACTAACGAAGTAAAACTTTTGCAATAGCTTTAGTGGCCATACAGACGTATCTGGGCAACCTTCCCAAAAAATTCGAGTGTCACAAAAATTCTGACGTTTGTGAAACACAAAACATGTATTTTCTTTCTTGATAAGTGTTACCAAATGAATCTTTCTTACTGTTTCTGGTTCTCTGTGTAAGTGAGTACTCTTACTTACTGTTTCTGTTGGTAATAGGCTTCTCGGGAGTTGTAACCGGTTTTTACATGACTGGTACAGTACCACGTTTTCTGTAACTAGTGACAAAGAACGGGAAATATATAGGATAAACAAGTATTTAGAACAGGCTTGTCTAGGTGGCGGCCGAATCGAAACATTCATCAATTGTAATGCACTGCGTATTCAAAATTTTTATTTTCTCAAATATATGGTACTATTATTATTTATCAGTGTTTTGCATAGTTGCTGTACGTGGGTGAAGCCTTTAGAGAGTTGTGATTCGAGCAGAGGAAGTGAACGAAGAAAAATATCTAAGTCATCCATGACATCAGTTGTGAGTCGTATGTAAAGCTGTTTCATATATAAACAGTGAGTTTAGTGACTGAATTAACGAACATTTGGCGTTTGTTAACTAGGACGGGTTGCACAATCATTATCCTGAGTCACGTATCTCACAGTTCCATTGCTTCATTTCAGATGGCCTGAGATGATGGTTTGGACAGAGACGAGGAAGTCAACAGTCACGTTCTGCTTCACCTCCCTGGATATGTCCAAGCTGTGAGCTCCACCCTCTCCTCTAGCTGCTGACTAGAAGTACTGAGTACCTGGCACTATGAGAGTGTCACATCAGAGTGCCTGCACGAGTACTTGTGAGCTGTGAAATGAGGATTGGCCCCAGCAAGTCCTCCAGACTTTAGCTCCGGAGCGCCGACAGAGGTTAGTAAGCCTGACCCATTCAGTGGTTAGAGGTGTAATTACCAGCGTGTATGGTACTCATAAGCGTGTTTCAGAGCGCGTGAATTGTTCTTGTAGCACAGTGGTCTGCGTCCTTGGCTCACAACCTAGAAATCCAGGCGTTAGGCAATACATTTGTTTCTGCATCGGCCAGGAATCGAACCCTGGGCCTTGGACTGCGAACGCTCTCCGTTCGCCCGTGAGGACATTATATATATGCGCGTCCACAGTGCTCTTTGACCTTTGCTACTATTAAAGATTGTGCGCAACAATTATCTCAAATTGCATCAAAGCGTTGCCAGGCCAGGAGACTCTCTTCGACTAGGCCACCACCGTCCACGGTAGAGATAAGATGGTGGTTTCTTGGCAACACTTATCAGGCTCTACAGTATAGGTATCTTGAGATCTTGAGTATCTTGAGGTCTTTCATATTAGAGAAAGATTCCTCCGTAAAAGGAAGATTCCGTATTTGTCATCGTGGAAAAAATAAATTAGGCTTCGAAATTTGCTTTGAAACGTTGTTTTTTGATGAGGCTTGTTATTGTATTGCTAAAAAAATAGGGTTTAATGCAATATAACTAAAACAGGGTTTTAATACAATTTAATTAAAGAGGCTTTAGTATAGTGGAGCTAAAAAAAAAGGTGGTTTAATATAACGAAATTCATCGTGATGACTGCATAAAATTTATTTATATTATTCATTTGAAAGTTGCGTCATATCATTGGGTTTATACGGAAGGCGTAAATAACCGACGCCAATATTCAATTATCCGTTATGGAGTAATTTAGAATTGCAAATGAGTGACTGCCAGAGACCACGAGATAGAGTTCGGATTTTTCCTTGTTCATGGCATATTATATGTATATTTATTTGATTTAGCTCTCATTATTTGCATTAGGTTTTTTCTTTAACATATATATATATATATATATATATATATATATATATATATATATATATATATATATATATATATATATATATATATATATATATATATATATATATATATATATGAGAAAGCTGCAGGAACACGCAAGCCATAGATCACTAAGAACTCTAATTGACCCTACCAGGATTCGAACCCATGCCGTTCAGGATCCCCCTTAAACGTACACAGTACACCACCGCACCAATGATCGTCTATAGTCCAATGATCGTCTGAACGGCATGGGTTCGAATCCTGGCCGGGTCAATTAGTGTTCTTAGTGATATATTAACACCAGTTGAGAGGCTGGACCAAAGAGCCGAAGCTCAACCCCCGCATGCACAAGTAGGCGAGTATGCACATACAACTTACACAGGTACTCCATGCTAGGCTTTGGAGGTCAACATCGGGTTACGACAAAAGGTCAAGGCTGTGACAAGTTTGTAAGTAGCAATGTAAGACTTTACATTTTTTATGTTTGTGGCAGTGATATAACTCGTACCTTCAGCAGAAGTAACAAATTACCAAAGTAAAAGTATTTTTGCTTTTTGGTAGGAAAAATGGAGAAAGAAAATGGCGTAGCTGATACATTGGTATAGGTAACAGTATCACAGTTAACATAACACGATGATGTAGTTAATATAGTGACAGTAGCCTAGCTAACAGTCTGCACAGTTAGGCGAATGGCATACATCATCTGTCTATAACGTTGTGTGTGTATATGTACGTGTACGTTGTGTGTGTGTGTGTGTGTGGTCACCTCAGCAAGGGTTCAGGCGGGCATACCTGGGAACCGTTGCTTCGGTAATTGGGACACCTGCTTGTAAAATGTGTCGGGGAATTCGTTTTCTGGAGTAAACGGAGAAAACTCCAGCCACAGCGTTCTATATCCTAAGATATAGAACACTGTTTTAGAGTTGACGTATTAATAGTAAATGAATAAATTACGTGATGATGGGTGATGAAGTATGATTCGAGATGTCTGATCTCGGAATATTGAGGCAGCAGTTTGTTATGTAAATAAACCAAATAACTGACGATTAGACTTCAAATTCAATGAGTTTTTTATTGATCTTTGTTTATCCCGAAATTGCAATAAAGTTACAAGTGCAGTCATGTCAATGTTGCATGCACGCACGCACACACACACACACTCACACACACACACACACACACACTCACACACACACACACACACTCACACACACACACACACACACACACATCACTGCACTAGGCAGTGATGTGGTGGAGGCTGACTCCATACACAGTTTTAAATGTAGATATAATAGAGCCCAATAGGCTCAGGAATCTGTACACCTGTTGATTGACAGTTAAGAGGCGGGACCAAAGAGCCAGAGCTCAACCCCCGCAAGCGCACTTAGGTGAGTACATACACACACACACACTCTCATATTTGTCTTTGGAAGTACGCTTTTCAAGTGGCTTAGATTCTGTTCCGAGAATTTAATTTTTTTACAATTCTCTGAATGAAGACTATTACGGCAGAGCATTATTATTGGTCTGCCGACTGTGTGTGTGTTTGTGTGTGTGTGTGTGTGTGTGTGTGTGTGTGTGTGTGTGTGTGTGTGTGTGTGTGTGTGTGTGTGTGTGTGTGTGTGTGTGTGTGTGTCTATTTCTTGTTAGTGCCTACAGAATGTAGCTCTTGGACACCCACTTTTTTTAAGCGTCGGTTCTCTGTACCGACTCCCCACATATTTTATTCTATCATATCTACTACATATATTTCTAACACATACATCCCCCAAGATGCAGCCCGTACCAGCTGTCTAACTCCCAGGTACCTATTTACTGCTAGGTAAATAGGAGTGTGTGTGTGTGTGTGTTACCATTCAAATTCAAATTGGACGATACTTGCTTTCGCGTGTCTGTCTGGGAGTTTGGTAACAAAATAATGGAGGCTTCCACGGCTCGCCTTCAAAAACCCAATTAATTTTCACCACACAAAATCCAATGTGTGTGTCTCCCGCCCCCCACCACCCATCCACCATTCTTTTTCCATGCAGGACGAGGCCAGTGGGATGGCAGTGATAAAGTGGAGTCAATATGGCAGCTGGTCACTTAATACCGCGGTGGCCTTAATATTATCCATAAAAATGGGAAATAACTTTATTCAGAATATGTAACAAGCCTCATCTTGCACTGGTGGCTGTCGCTATGTTTGCTCCACTTCCGCGGTGATGTGTGTTGTTGCTAAAGTTATTCGGTTCTTCATTTTTGTAGGAGTGACATAACATTGTTCTTTGGAGTATAGCCTAGTGTTAATCATGTCGCTCTGGTAATAATCCGGTTTTTATTACAAGCCTGAAAAAAGTCAACTAACTCCACATTTTCACTATAAAGTAAACTTATATTGCATCTTGTTAATAATTTACAATATTTTCTTTCATAAGGTTTGCATGTTAAACGCTGTTTATATCAATATTTTGACTGAGGATTTCACGAAAGTAGCGGAGTTAAATAAACTTTCTTTAATAAATAAAACTTTCTCCACTTTGTGATATATGGAAGGTGAGGGTTTGGGAGAGTTGGGGTGAGTGTTGGTTGACGTGGGTGTTGGGTGGTTGATTGAAGAGTAGGTGGTGAAAGATAATTAGGTCGGAGAGAAGGGGGTGGTAGGGGGGAACAGCGGGTGTAATATTGTGATGCCGTGGATTAAACTTTTGTAATAGTTGTTATTGTTGATATCGTTGCTATAGTAACGCCCCTCCATGGCCCCCTGGCAGGGGTAGGGGAGTGGCAGTGTTGTCTATGTGTGTTGCGCCTGTGTAATACTCTCTCGAGCTCCGGCTGGGTGTTGATGGGTGGCGGAGTTATGTAAAAAAAATGTGTTATGTATTTTGTATATATGTATCATGAGAGTAATTAAAAAAAATTATAGATCTCTACACGCACATACACCCCGACCATACACATTTATACACGCCCTGCAGTCCCTATTGCAAATATTGATTAGTATATCTTGTATATACCAGCCTTAACAAACTCTAAACCTTATTGGAATATAATTTTCTGATAGCATGTTAATAATATAATATCAGAAAATCAGAAAATATAATTTTCTGATAGCAGCATTAGCATGTCGTTGTATGTTAGGATACCAACATACTCACTATTTGTTTTGATACGATCAGATGTCATCAGTCAAGTTCCTGATATTGTCAGAATTTAAAGGTCAAATATTACAAAATATGAGTCTCAGTTTTTAAGATTATTAATATAAAGTTATTGTTACTACTCAGAAACACCCAGACATGCACGTATGTTAAAAAAAAACTCTATATAACAAAGAATATAAGATAGACGAGAATACTTCGTATTCTGTAACTTCGCTCGGATCACAACAAAGCAATTGCACACCGATATTATTAATGGCACTTCTGTTGAACGGTTGGAAAATGCGTATCTGTAATAATCCGAACTAAACGCCAAATAAATTATCAATAACTAGCCTAACTTTATTAAGTTTATTAAGTTAGAAAATTCCCGTTTATAACAAAGCTGTTGAGTGACCTAGCTTCATTCACGTTGTTTTCTTATATAAATAACGTTACATTCTTACTATATTTACAAGTCGAAGTAAACCATTATTAGAAGTTCCTCTGATGACTTGCGGGTAAATAGTTAGAAAGCATGATATATTCCTTTCATTCGGTGGTTATTTGACTATTTGTAGCGAAGTCAGGAAACACAATCTATTTAAAATAAGCCAGGCAAAACAAGCCAGATTAAGTAAACCAGATAAAGCAATCGAGTCATGGAAAGCAAGCTAGGCAAAGTAAGCCATGTAAACCAAACCATGTATAAAGTAAGCAGCTTGAATTACGTAATATTTAAGTTAACAGTCACTTGTGCCCTTGGCAGCGGTTTGAGAGCATAAATAACTTGAAACTATTTGAATTAGATTTTCACGGGGTGTTGTGCCTTAATTCTGACTTGTTATAAAAATACTACAAAATTCATATAATTGACTGCTAATCGTAAGTGGGACCGTGTTCAGAGGTACAGCCATGTGTTATAGCCCAAGGAAGA